ATCCTATTTTCTATTCTTTGGTTGAGATTGTCAATTAAGTTTCTTTCTCATGTACAATTTACATGTACATATTTGAAAATATATAGAATATAGATAAGAAAAGTTTGAAACGCATTACATATTGGATTACGAATTCTACGACTTTTGATAATCAATTCCTATTATATATTTTAATTTATAGATAGCAACATACCGCTATGCTTTGATGGAGCTGACTATGAAGCACCTGGAGTTAATTGTGTAATGAAAGAAAACATAGATTCTGTACTACAGTTATTAAAACGACTTCAACCAATTTTAACAAAAAAGGCTGTGTCCATGATATGCGACAATTCCAGCGAAACTCCTTATCTGACCGATTCTGAAATCATGCAAATGTTTACAAGCAATAAAGTGGTAGGTTGAATTAATTGTAGCGAAACGAAGATTATTGTATAAACTTCTTTATGTATACTATCATAAAATGGTTTTACAGAAAAGTTTGGAAGTGAAAGAGGATTTGCACAATGCACAGTTGCTTATCATAAAAAATCCCAAATGGGGTATTTCTTTAATAGACATAAATGATGATAACGGAGTGCCCGGTGAAATTTTGGATTCCTTGGTATTGTAAAAACTTAGCTATCATTATAATGAATACAATTGACTTCTAATAATGTATATAAATTAAACAGAAAGGCATCATTCTCTTGCAGGATAAATTATTTTCTACTCGCCTAAATGGGAAAGTTGGAATGGTGATCATGAACCCGGAATTGCCGATGCAATGTCTCATTAAAAATAAGCTCTTCACCATATTCTCCTCTCTACTGATTGTGTTACTTGGTAAATTTTTTACCGATTTATTATGGGATGAAATTTGTTGAGAACATGCTGACGAGATTTTATAACGCGATAATATTCTTATATCGAAACAGTTGCGTTTTGTTACAAAAGTTCATACTTTCAATATGTAACTGTATAGCATTAGTAAATTATTTCTTTCTGGTTATAATCACGTCTGTTATGCGGTTTTCTTTGGCATTCAGTGTATATTGCATGATAATGTTAGACTGAGAATACATTGTATGTTCATTAGATTGCAGATTTTTGTACAGAACAAATTCTTTTATTTATTAGACATTTTGCTAGAAATGGAAATAGAACAGGAGTTTATTTAATATACTTATAAATTTTATTTTCTATCATTTAAAAAACTAACATTGAATGTACGAATATCTGCAATTTAATTATTTGGCAGTACAGTATCTTATACAAATAATGTCGCAATATATTCTCAGGCCTTCTAGCAGCTATAGGATTGCAGAAATTATTCGTTTGGTATATAAAGTACAAGAAAAGTACTGAGAGGGAAGTGTTTAAACTTGTTAGTGAGATTATTAACATGGTTGAAATGCATCATCAAAATGCTAGCGTAGCATCGCCTGGCGGCACACAAGAAAGTTTTCTTGCTATAAGTCACGTACGTGATAATCTAATACCACCCAAAGACCGTAAAAAGATGGCAAGCCTATGGGAAAAAGCAGTGAAATTTTTGGACGAAAATGAATCTAGGTAAAAAAAAACTGAATCAGTTTGTTTTTTTAATTTAAAGACAATGGAGAAGTTATCGATAAAAATGCTTTCAGAATTCGAAGGGAAGTGCAGCAAGTCGCGGGAGAAGAATTTCACGTATGGCGCTGGCTGTCTAATAACAGTCTTAATAAGTCAACCACACAGAATTTCGTTCTGAATAAAAAGTCCAAAGTATGGCAAGGCCAAGCGTTCGAAACAATGGAAGGTTCGGTTAACAGCTTGACATGTTCACCAACACCCTGTTTGAAGATAAGACATATGTTCGATGCAGATGTGTAAGTATCCCTTAATAATTTTTCATAATTCTTGTGAATATCGTTGACGTGTATCCGCGTATATATTGTCCATATTCGTTTAGAGAATTCGAGGATGACTGGGAAACAAAGGTACAGGATGCTATTCTAGAGAAATGCGAAGGTGTAAATATACTTCATATCCGTGTAGATCGTGGTAGTCGAGAAGGATGTGTTTACATGAAATGTATGTCACAAGAAGACGCAGGAAAAGCCTACAGAGCTTTACACGGATGTTGGTTCGATGGTAAGCAATCGATAGTAAATAACTCGGTAGTACACTCAACATAGAGAAATTTTATTCGTTGCAGCTGGCCACAGAGTTTTTTGAAAACATTGAAAACACAGTGTTTCATCTAAATTAAAATAAATAATGTCCTCATAACGTTGTAATTAGTAGAGAAGTTTTAAATGAAGAATTGCACTGTTTTAGGTCACTTAGTAACTGTAAAGTACCTGAGATTGGAAAGATACTATGAGAGATTTCCAGACGCGCGTCAATGTACGATACCTTTGAAGCCAAGTAACAATCAACGATTATCTATGCAGGCAGATTACTAGGGTCGCCACTTTTGGATGTAAACTTACGGAATACCTCTTTGCTTGTGCATACACGTTAACAAGCAACAATTTGAATCTTTCGCCGCTAAATAATTGTTTGCGGACCAGAATTCGCGAGATACTTCTATTTTTTGCTCTGGAAGAGAATAGAACTTCATACTTATCGCGCAGAGATACAGAATCCGAGGGACTTGTAATTGTGTGATAATGTTCTGAGAATTCGAAGAGACAGAGACTTTTTATAATCATTTTCATTTAGATTTTGTAACGCGTACATTATTAATACGTTCTATAATTTTTTTTTCTTTTTGTTTTCGGAAGGAAGAAAAGTCGAAACCAAGACTCAAGAATTACATTATTTATGAATCTATTGTAAAGTGAATGTAAAGATGTTGTTTCAAACTGCATTTTATGAAGTTTCCAAGTAGCAATATACAAGAAAAGAAAACATGCATATCCAAATTTCAATAATGTAATATACTCCTCTTGTGCGTTCAAACGATGTGTTCGATTTATCATTTAATACTGGCTTAAAGTCAGTATTAATATTAAAATGTTGTTTGGTAATACTTTTTGGATAAACCATTGCCACACTTCCACGTGCTTTGTTAATAGACAATTTCGATGAGTTTCATAAAATGTGCTTAAAAAAAGATCGGATTGTAAAGTGTAAAAAGTACAACAAACTTCGAAAAATTATTATTAAAATTTAGTATATTACACAAGCGTGTTATATTGTAATTTGTAACGTAGTTTGTATTTAAATTTAATGACTAGTGTGGCGGCACCTCATGTTTTTGCCACTAGAGGACTCCTAAGACTACATCTTTCTCACGGTTTCCTGATCCTTTGCTAATTTTTATAAAGAATTTTTAAAGCAGTGATACAATTTTGAGAAGTGGTGAAACCATATGAAAATATCGAAAATGTAGAACAACAATTGTTCGTACGAAGTTTCATACAAAATATGCAATGGGTAGTAACGTAGGTGGGAACCTAGTTAACTAACGCGCTGAAATTCAAATTTAATATGAAATTCTAAAATTAGTTTGTTCTAGATTTTCTATCCATTTTCTGAGGCTGTAAAAACCATGATTCACCTCTTCTTTTGCTCGATGATCCATAGTTGGAAAAACTCCCTTTTGCATACCTTTATCTCCCTTCCCTTCGTCTTTTACATCCATTCCAACCGCCAAACTAGAATTAACATTTAAGTAATAAATTAATGAGGATATTATTTTCTAGACGGACAACGCAAAAACATGATCTTAAACATTTATAGTATTGTCTTACTTTACTCATAATTTTATTTATTGTATTTCAGTACATGAGTACTGTAAAATACGTCTTATTTTATATTATGTAGTGTCGATGTTTTTAGTACTTTCTTTTAATTAACGTATTAAAAAAGCGTATATTGCTACTTAAAGTACTAAATAAAATTAATTTTTGCATTTTATT